ATCACAGCGCTAGTGAGAGAAATAATACTTGATATCAGTGTTATTTTTCTTACCTACAAAGTAAAAAAAAACGATTGCGGAAGAACGAAATTAAAGAGACGAAAATAACGGTAAAAAGATTAACAGCGGCAGCGAAAGAAATAAATATTTGAAAATCGGTAATTTTCTAAACTTCTAGGCCCTATGCCATGCAAAAAATTGCTAAGGAAAAATTCCCAAAATAATGTCAACAAAAAATTCAAATTATAATCGGCAGCCACTTCCGGTACGGTACTACACTGCTTTAAAAAGTCGGAAAACGAATTTTGGTAAACGGTGGGGAAAATGACGGCAGAAAAAAAAGTAAAAAAATGACGGGGGCAATTAAGCGCCCCCCAGCTCGCGACGCCCATGAACTTAAGTGTAATCAACAAAGCGATAGGGAAAATGGCTGTATAAGACATGCGACATTTCTTCGTGGTTTTGTAAAGGTGTAAACTTGATCTACATCATTTATGTGAGTCCGATTTGGAAAGATCGGCAGGGATGCATGTTTTCATCAAGTATATATTTCTCCTTTGAGTTACTCATTTGGTTGTCTTACTTTGACCTTTGATAACGTATAAGGCCGACAGTGCTGTTTTATTGAAGGGGAGAACACGAAAACCATAACGGAAAAAGCGTTGCAGTAGTTAAAAAGATCGGTCTAATATAGACATTCACGAAAAAATGTTTGTGGTCTACGAGTATACCGTACTTAACGTAAATTTCAAAAGAAAGCATTTAAAGATATGCGACAGGTTTAGAGTAACATTGAAAACTACTATTTCCTTGTTGATTTTAGCCTACGTGTAACCCTCCTTCTGTCTAGTACTATGTTCAATGTAAGTCCAATTTGGAAGGGATCGGCAAGGATTAAGATGGCATTTTGTCATCTTAATGTCACGTGAATTTCTTTTAATGGTTGTTTATAGTGTGCGAGTTGTATGCAGTTTCCAAAGCAACCTGCCATAATCAGCGTCGACACATTATGGCAAAGTAATCGTGTCTGTTTTAAAAAGAAAATAATGGAAACATGGGTAGAATCGTTTGGTTTCCATTGGGTCCTACCCATGACCTGGCTAGGGCCTATAGGTAGGCTTAGACATAATTATTGGCTACATTTGCAATGTTTCACTTCAGTAACAAATGGGCTAGGCCCAGTGTTTTCGTACCCCTGTCCACTTAAGAAAGAGTTGCAGCTTTCATCAAAGAAACTGATGATCTAAAAGTTGAGACAGACTGGATGAGCTAGGCTGCTTGAAAATGAACCCTCCAAGGCTCCAACAGCCTCATCACACGGAAACTCGAGGAACCGGAAGCAGGAAGAAGGACCGACAGATGAACGGAGGACCGACAGGTGAACGGATGACCTGCTTGCTGGGCTTCCCATTACTGATTCTTGAAGCTAGTTTACATGTAGGCTTCCTCTTAGTCACAGAACTCCAAATTGGTGATTGGCGCTTTTCTGTGTTCTTCCACAACGAGTGCTGGTATGCGTTGTGTTGCTTCGTGGTGTAAAAATCGAAGTTTTCTTTCTCCTTGCACATATTTCTTAATATTTAAGATTTCTTTTCGTCATTTGAATCCTTGTAGAGAAATGAGGACCACTGACTGATGAGGGAATTGTCTTACTGAGATAAGGATGAGCCTGCCTCAAGCCATCGTAAGCTGGGAGGACCGACGATGGACTGACACCGCCTGCTGGCCTGGCCATTACTGATTCTTGAGGTGAGTTTACTTTGAAAACGAAAAAAGACCAGGGTATGAGGATTATAATTTGTTATTCCTCTGATTGTAGTTTGTCCCTCCTACAAAATCCACAGTGCTTGATTTCCTAATATATGTATTTTTTTTTAATTTGCTTGCTTATTTTGTCATGTTTAGGACATGAGGACCATCAAGCTTGGACGAGACTGGACAATGACGAAGCTGCTCTACTGGACAAGGATGCCCTCATCGGAAACTTGAGTTAAAAAAACTAGCTTGCACAATATGAAATGATAAATCAGACTGCATAATGCAACGTCATGAATGTGATACACTAAGGCAACAACACTAAAATAAAAATGAAAAGTAAGTTTGATTTCATTAAATTATTTATGCCTCTAAAAAAATATTAAACAGGATACTGCAAGAGACAGTTAACAATGGACAATAATAGAAACTTGCTGAAAAATAATTTTAAGGGTAATAATTTGTCACTGGCTTTTTAGCAGTGACATGTCTGGGAGAAGGGATGTTCCGTTGATCTGTCCTGTGTCATCCAAAATTATTGCATTAATAAGTTAATAATTTCATACTCCTTACCTTTAATGCATTCAATTGGATCTTCTCGGTAAATTATAAACGAGGTCTCGCCTGAGGCTTTCTATTTGCTTTTTGTTCAGTTGACAATGAGAATTTTGCTCTATAAATTCAATTTGATATTGAAAGTGCATTTTTAAGAAAACCAATTTAAGTTATAAGAATTTTGAAAGATTTCAAAACGGATTAATTTATTATTTTAAATCTGAAGAAATGTAACAAACTTTATTTAAATTTAACGTCTTTAACAAGACGTCGGTTTAACTAAAACGTGACTTTCTTTCCATTGTATATTTAGCCTATTAGAAAACACAAGAACGTTTATTTTTTAAGAAAATGTAAAGAATAAACTGTTCAGGAACTTCTATCCATCAAAATGCATTGCAACAGGTATAAGTGACACTCAAATTACATTTGGGTTTGTCCTTTTGTGATATATTTCATTGCACTTTTTTTACTTGTTATATTTGTTACTTCGTATGCACGCACAATTGTTTTTCTTGGTGGTTTTGCACATCTTTCTCATTTTCTTATTAATAATTAACTAACCTCACAAAAGGATGAACGCAATTATATCGAGTGTTGAACTTGCCTCGCGTCATTTTTTTTTCCACATAATAGCTAAATTAGACAAAATACAGTCCTGAAATGTTTATCAAAATAATCTAGGAATTATTTTGGAGGGGGGGGGGGTGCATTCCCAAGTTTTATCTTTCCCTTTGTAAAATTTTGTTCACAAAATGACGAAATACAAAAACCTGGCTTTACCGGCACAGTCGTGTAGTCGTTGCTTATGTAATAATTATCTATGATATAAAGTGATTATTAATTTCTCAATTTTGTTTGGCCTTCTGCCCAACTTTTTTCCTCATTTGGAATCTTTTGTATTTGTTTGTATGAATTGGTTTAAATATTTGTATGTCAATAAGACTAAGGAATTAAACAAAATAAATAAAACTTGAAAGATGTGAGACACTTGATATCCTTAGAAGGTTGTCAGTATTTTGCCTATTTTTGTTTTAGTTGTTGGTGGGGAGGTCAAGCTACTACAAAAGAAACAAAACCCAGCTGAAATGACGTTTTATTATTTATGGGTGATGGGGGGGGGGGGGGGGGCGGGGTGCGCACAAAAAGGCACGTCAGGAAATATAAAATAATTAGGTGTTTTTGTTAGGGAAATCTTTACTTAAACGGAAATAAAAAAAAATCTCCTAGGCTCCTATGTTCTACCTGTTAAGATTGTCCATTTTTTTCCAAGAGTGCGTCTCTAATGGTTGATGGGCTTTTAACCCTAAAGGGGCCGGGTTATTTTGACCGTCTCTCAGCCGGGGGGGGGGCGGATTCCGCCCCCCCCCCCCAAGACCTCTGCCATCGAGTGAAGAAAAATGTTGAAACTCGGTACATGCATAGAGCAACTCTTCATAAACATACCCAAGAAATTTCATGACCAAAGGTAAAAGGGTTTTGGAATTATGGCTAATTAATTATTCATATGTATGAATGGCAATTCTGGACTGTGTACACGACGTATATGGGAAAATTCAGTTTTCCCGGCGCATAGCACCAGAAAAATTTTCGCTGCGCGACAACCCCTGTTCCGATTTTTATGTTTTTGGTGTCAAAAGATGTGCAAAGCTCGAGGCTAAAAAGTCATAAAAGCTCGGGTCGCGAAAAAAAAAATTTTTTTAAGGGCTATCATGGAAAAAGTCAAGGGGGGGCGGATTCCGCCCCCGGCCCTTTTAGAGTTAAAAAGAACTTTTGCAAATGGGAAAGACACTTTGGAAACATCCAATCAGTTTGAATATGCTTCATGAATTTCTGAATAAACAAGCACATTTTTAAACAGTATTTAATTACTATTATTTTTCGATGTGGGGGAGGGGGTGGCGGGGGGGGGGGGGGGGGGGCTAGACAGAAGATATAGCAGAAGTGGCGCAATAAAACCGGCAGTGGGTTTAATAATTTTGATCAGGGTTTCAAAAATTTCGTTAATTTGCATAAAAAGTGCCCCCCCCCCCCCCACAATTTTTCGTAAAAAACGAGACCGTCTAGTTTAAAAATCGGTGGAATCGTGCGAGTAACCGAGGATCATAGCTTTTGGGCTATTATCTAAGAGCAGATTTAATAAAATTAGGGTCGGCATTACGGACTCAGCTCAACCCCATTACGGACACACTCAGGCGCGGTTCTAGAGCCAATATTTTTTTTGGGGGGGGGGGGGGCAGACTAGCAAGGTGAATCCAGGATTTTTTTCCAGGGAAGCGTGCTGAAATGTAGACCGGTTATTTTCTCCGGACACTTAGGCCTCTGAAAACCAATAACTTAAAGTGTACAAATGCACCCTTCTCATTTAGGGGGAGACCGTTCCCATGTACGTCAAATTCTTACATTTTGCTAGTGCATTTTTTTTGGGGGGGGCTAGACAAAACAAAATTGGGGGGGGGGGGGGTAAAGCCCCCCCATAGCCCCCCCCCCCCCCCCCCCCCCCCCCCCCCCCCCCCCCCCATAGCCGATGAATTGACTTCGACCAAACTAAACCGTAAGTCCCATCATAAGGAATAAGTTAAACTGGACCATTTTCTCTATGTGTAAGGTGCTTAATTTCCCAGGGGGCGAGTCGGTCAGGGGGCGAGTCGGTCAGGGGGCGAGTCAGCTAGGAGGCGAGTCCGTAAGGGGCGAGTCAGTCAGAGGGCGATTCGGTAAGGGACGAGTCGGCCAGGGGGCGAGTCGGTCAGGGGGCGAGTCGGTCAGGGGGCGAGTCGGCTAGGGGCCGAGTTGACCTGCAATCGACATAATGGATGTATGCGCTCATCAATGATTCATCGAATCTGCAGGGAACTTAGACTCTTAAAGTGTAGGCTACGTTTGGCTACTTTTGGTAAGTTCATGGAGCTGTAGTTAGTTACACAATGAACAGACATGGACTTACAATGACTTAAACCACTTAGTTCTTCTTCTTCCTTATAATATTTAAGGTGCTGCCTTCATATGGTTGAAGGTTACGTAAACCGAACGCACTGCGTTGGGCGGAGGGTGACCGTTTTAGCCGATTTTCGGCTAACTTTAATTTGACAGATTGTTTTTGTTAAAAAACGAGTTTGACAGAAAATTTGACAGAATGGATTTTTTTTGACAGATTTCTGGCAGAATACTGCAAAAATGGTTACTTGACAGAAAACATAGCAAATTTGAAAAAAAATGGTACAGTCATTTGTTTAAAATAATAAAAAAAATTTAAAATCTTTTCAAACAAAACCTTGCATAATCATAATGCCAATATGGGACAGGTCGGGTGAGCGAGGTTCACTGTGAACCAGGAACTGAAATTCATAAGGCAAAATTGAAAAAAACATGTTTAGCGTCCTGCCTCTTTGACAAAAAGGAAGGAGGAGGCCCTTTTTTTTTTTTTTCTTTTCAAAATGGCCGCCCGACACATTTTTCAAGACAACGCGGCCGGGCTATTTTTCAAGATGGTTACCAGCTTTTTTCAAAATGGCCGCCACTTGGACTCATTGACTATTTCCACAGCTTTATACACGGTATAAAAATCTAAAAATACGATTTCTTTCGTCAGAGATCGTTAAAATTTATCAATTTTTGTCTTTTAAAAAAAAAAGAAAAAGAAAAAAGAAGCTGCCTCTAAAAAGGAAGCGGGCGGGGACGCTAAACATGTTTTTTTTTTTACTTCGCCTAACATCTTTATGTGACTAAAGATTGTTTGTAATGTAATTTGAACCTTAATTAAGGCAATACTACAACATCTGCATGCCATTTTAAGTGTTTATTCTATTGTGTATTCGAGTAATTCTGGGGAATTTGGCAGATTTTTGATAAATCTGACAGATTTTTGAAGTGCATTGAGCAGAATTTGGCAATGGTCTTACGGTCACCCTGGTTGGGGGCATGCACTGTCTAAAGACAACAGGAATTTGTACTCGGGTACAGTGTGCTGTATAGTAGGCCTACAGCATAAAGTATGACTATGAGTACAGGTGCAAATGAAAATCTGGTGGTGCAGTTGTCAAGCGCAATTTGAGTCCCCCGCGCAAGTTAAAGTGACCCGAAAATAAAGATGGCGATCACCGCGCGGTGTACCGTGAGCACGCACGGCGCGCTGAATCGCAAGGCACAAACCACACAGGAAAATCGTGATTTCTACCCCAAGAATCTGTTTAAAAATCGCCAAACGGGTGTCATTAGAATTAAGAAAAGTCTGCTTTTGATTGTAAAGGTGATTTTTAAGCAATAAAAAACATTTTTGACTCAAATTTGATCAAAACAAAACAGGTGCCCTACACTTCACGATCGCCCTTTTATGTTTGCAAAAGATGTATATTAGTTTATTACCTTTAACACAGTTTAAGTTTACACATTATTTTGTGATTTTCAGGCAGTTGATAAACAACATGAACGTCTTACCAAGATTCTTACGCCATGCACCAAGACTGTCTGGGTTATGTCCTGCAGTAGCCCTGTCCACGTTGGCTCATCGTCCCATCCGACTTGTGCCTGCATGCTGCCAGAACAGGACACTACAGAATGTCCCTCGGTCCAGACTCGTTCAGCACACTGGAGTGAGGTGTATGGCATCCTCTGTACAAATCCCATCTGATTTACTTTTCCGGCAGGTATGAAAATGAAAAAAAAAAACAATCATGGCAGCTATTCTAGTATCTTCTTATCCAAATTCCAAAGTTGTATCTCTTGCTAATTCTGCTTCTGAAGATTAGCTACCCCAGACTGGGACCTTGAGTGCAGAAAACATGCAAAACAAAATCAGGCCATATTTTCTCACTATTTTAGCTGACAAAAGTGTCCAAAATTTTCATGAGGCAAAGACAAAGGTCCTCAGTATTTCACTAAGATCTCAATTCAGTTTTGACAGAGTTGTAACGAGTCACTGATTTTTGTGACTCGAGTCGAGTCCAGTCATTTTAAAGAAGTGACTCGAGTCAAGTCGAGTCATTTTAAAGAAGTGACTCGAGTCGAGTCGAGTCATTAGGTCAAAAGGTTGAGTCGAGTCGAGTCAAATATTTAGCTCGAGTCAATTCGAGTCGCGAATATTTGAACATAATATATACATGTACCAACATTGATAAAAGGAGTCCATAAGTTTAGCCAGTGTTCGAATCCAAGAGCTTTATAAGAAATCGCCCAAGCCAACGATGAAACAGCGAATTAGAAATTTGTTTAAAAATCTGGTTGCTAGATAGCATTTTGTGCGTTCTAGAACCATGAGGTGGGAGTCTGTAACACGTTATATGTGTACATGACTGCTATTCGCAAATCGAGGTGAGCACAAATTTTGCACCGTAAGTCATTGCAAATACTTTTCGCAAAGTTGTGCTTTTATTTTTGAGACTCGAGTCTTATTAGCCTTCGCTCGAGTCGAGTTGAGTCTTCTGATGAGGGACTCGAGTCGAGTCGAGTCATTAGCTCGCAGTGACTCGAGTCGAGTCGAGTCACCAAAAATTGTGACTCGAGTCGGGCTTGAGTCAAGTCATTTTTGAAGGAGACTTTTTCTTCAACATTTTGCACCTGAGAGTGAAGCCAAGTGATTTCATGTCCAACTACCTGTATCTGAAAAGATTGACTCTTCAGTAGTCTGGTGGCATGACTGGAGAGAGTGTGTAGAAATAGGCTAGGTACTAATGACACATTTGCTTGATGCAGTACGATAAAGGAGTGTTGGACTGGTTGTTTCATGTGCCAGTCTATTTTCTAGGGGTGTGCATTAACGGGTAGTACAGGAACCGGCTACCCGATTGAAAAACAAAACATAGATACCCGGGTACCCTTTAAAGAAACTAAACACCAAACATGCCAAAATTCAAAACTCAAAAGTTGCTTTTGAGATTGTTTACAAAAGTCTGCACTATAATACTGCCATATCGGCACATCAGTACGCAAGATACAAGTGTGTGCAGTGAGCTTTATAGCTTTACGGTGTAAACTGCAGCTTTCACGAGCATCAATGATCATAAATGTGAAATATATTTTGTTTACCCATGTAGCCTGGTTATTATTTTGAAAATTCCCCACAAATGACTTCAAAACCTTTCTCTTTCATTGTCTGAGTAGTAAAGTTGGGGAAAGATTTCCATATATACGAAGTTCACTAATTTTTCTCTGTATGGACTAACAAGCCACTGGATAGCAATTTCATGTCATCAAAGTCAATTTGAGCAGTGAGAAAATACAAGCATTTTCTTAGAAAACACTTAGAATTTTTCAGTCCAATCTCATAGGGTTTGTACACAGGGTGTTGAGTGAACTTCGTATATGGAAATCTTTCCAAAGTTGGTTACGAGTACACGATCCCATAATCTGGAACCGGTTCCTGACATTAACGGTCGGGTACTCGGGTACCCAGTTCCGATGCAAAGCCCTACTATTTCTTGTGTTGCAAGTTTATACTATCTAAGGTTTTGGGACTGACTCTCATACAGAGTATTGAAAGTCCCATTTTTTTTGGAATAGTGCTTCCCCTTACACTTGTTCTTTTAAATTGTGATATTTTCTTTTATCATTTTCAGTCCTTAGTATCACTTGACAGCATAATTTATTCGTTCTATTCAGGAATAAAATCTCAAACCTTGATTTTTGCAAGAGTTGTAGCTCAAGTCAAGTCACGAGTCAATCACAAGTCAAACCACAAATATGATCCCAAAAAGGGGGGGGGGGGGGGAAATTATGACAAACAAATTTTGTCAAAGTTTGTTTTCAAAGCTCATCATTGACACTGGATGACTTATGATGGACAGGTTGACTTGTGACCAATTTTGAACACCGCTATACCGAACATTCGGCTATACCAAACATCGTCCTTGGCTCCCGATTGTTGTGTACAAAACAAACTGAACATTGTTGTTGAAAACCGTCAACAGAAGAGCAACAAGTGGCTATTATTTCCCCAAGGCATAGAAGGGGAAATCCACCCATCGATGTTGGAAGTAAGCTCAAAACTGTGAAATTACATAATTCAATAGTCGGCACGTGTTCGAAGTTGTCTTTCAGTAACTACCAGGGCGTGCAGGGTGAAGTTATGAAGGGCGCTATTTATTGAAAAGTGAGTACCGGAGCACCGGCAGCTTAAAATCGCTATACCGAAAGATCACTATTACGAACATTTTCTGTGGAAACATATTCGTTATAGCGGAGTTCCACTGTACTTTCACAAATTGTGATAAGTCAATTATTTAAAGCTTATTGTCTCTCATACAGTGGGTGGCAAAAAAATATTGGCCTTTCATGAGGTGAATATAACAAGAAGAAAGTTTTCTCCGCTCTGTTTCAGCTGTTTGACTACCAGTCCTACACCTACACGTACTTATTAGCAGACTGCCAGACCCAGGAAGCCATCCTGATTGATCCTGTGCTGGAGCTTGTCAACCGAGACACTCACCTCATAGAGGACCTGCAACTGAATCTCAAATTTGCGGGTAGGAAGTGACAGTATTTTGTGAAGTGTTCTGTCGAGACCAGGGCCCAGGTTCTGTCCAGACCAACAGAAAAGTTGTGCTTAGCATAGCAGAATAATTTGCTAACCTTAAAGGGAAGATAGAACATTTGCAAACATCAAAAAACGAAATGATCAAATTATTACAAAATACCTTGGATTGCTAGGGAATGACAGTCTAAAGCATCCTGTGAAATCGTTGCTCCTGGTGTGCTGACATTTTCAAGAAAAATTGTATTTTTCCAATGCTGGTCGGCCGACCAGGGTTGGAAAAACTGGCTTTTTCAAAAACAGTTCCTATTTTTTCATATTTAGTTATTCCGCAGATAGATTACACACCAATTTTCTAAGTATTTCCTAACAAATTTGGAAGTGTTTGTCACTCCCAGATTCATGTCTTATCATTTTTGCAATGACTGACCTTGAAATGATACTGTATATGAAAAAAAAAAGTTGCAAAATTTTTTCGAAAATTCTTTCTGGCAACTGATGTCTTTTTTTTTTTTTCCGGAAAATGTGTTTCTTATAGAACTTAATTAGGGAATCAAGATTTTTGCTGAAACACTGTTTTGTTTTATTGTCTTTCTGCAGTGAATACGCATTGCCATGCAGACCACATCACTGGAACCGGCGAATTGAAGAAACGCTTCCCGAGTTGCAAGAGCATGATAAGCAAAGACAGTGGTGCCAAGGCCGATGTGTACATCAAAGAAGGGGACAGAGTGGTGTTTGGCAATAAGGTGAGAAGTGCCGGCGATACATGCAGACACTGGCCCTGTGTAGTCTATGTAATAGACCACGACGAAATTATGCGCGAACAGATTTGCTGATTTATTACGCAAGACCCCGCGTCTTGACTTCCTAGATTTTGACCAATCAGCAGGCGCTTTCTATAGGTCTATCGGGTCTTCGGTCATTCACCTGTGTTCGGTATCATGTTACGCGAATGCGCTCCCGGCTGTTGTTGTATTACAAAATGCTGCATATGAATTGACCAATCACAGCGTTAGTCCTGATTTTGGGATGAAATGACGTCACGATTTAATAAAAGTCGTCTCCGATTGGCTTGCGCGCGGCTTGCATAAATCTGCATACTTTGACATATCAGACGTTAGACAGGAGATGGCTCCGTGGATAACGGGTGATACTCAGACTAGGCCCTGTGTAGAAGTGTCCAAAACTTGGCAAAAGGAAAGTAACAAGGAGAAATACCAAAGCTTAAGAATTGTTCACTGGCTAGGTTTACCCAAACCTGACCTAAAACTACAAAATACTAACGAGTAGTAACTGCATTAAATGCATTAACCCTCTGGCCCTGCTAACTTCGTGAAAACAAAAGAACACGGAGTTCAGGCTTTTTGTCAATTGTTTGTTTACCATAATTTAAAAAGTAAACAATATTTCGCTTTGAAACTTGGTCAAATTGTTCTTTTTGTCAAGTGCAATCAATTGGGCAGCAAAACTCAAAATCTAAAAATGATCGATATTCCAGGTTTTTGTCACTCGTGAAAACATCGTATATATGCAGATGGCATGTCCCTGTACTTGGTGGGAAGAGGGAGATAGGAGGCAGTCTGCCCCTTAACATTTTGATACCTACATGTATTAACTCTCCCTCTCTCAGTGACAAAATGGAGAGACATATATACCCTATCTGTCAAAATCTATCAAGTGACAGTTCTATAGTTTTGTTGATTGGTACAATTCGGCCGATTCACAATGCAGTGCGCCACAGAGAGTTTGCCATGGAGAGTTCCTTTTTCCTAGTGCATTGTGAGAGATGGTCCACAAATTCGCAGCGCGGGACATTTGAAATTGTTAGTTTTGCCTGTCAGAAGTTTCGTAAGCATATGATTTGAATATTTGTTTGCCCTTTTCTTTTCTTTTTATCAATATGGTGTTTGTTTTTTGTAAGGTGGAAGAACGCTATGCCCCAATCTATAACAAATTAGCTCAAGTTGTCTACTGATATGACACTCATTCAAATGGGCGATGTTTTGTCGACCACAGATAAACTTGAAAAATGGACTCTCCATGGCAAACTCTTGGTGGCGCACTGCATTGTGAATCACCTGAGGCCAAGTTCGCGCAAGGACTATAGTTGACCAATGGTTAACTAATGTTTGCCTGAACTCTGTTTAGTCAACGGTGGTTTGACTACGCTAGTCAACTATTTGGAACCAGCCTACTGGGGTTGGTTGCTTCGCTGGTAACCAATAGCCGCGCGCATTCATAACGCTAGCAGAGAGCCAGGATCCAGAAGTTTTGCGATGACATTTTGACCAGCGTTCGACTAGAGACGTTCGCACTTTGCTATTAGTGCGCAGGCGTAAGGTACGTCACAAATCAACCACTAGTCGACTAATGGTCCTTGCCCAAACTTGGCCTGAATTGACAGGCTGTGGTAATTTTGTCAACTGAAGGTACCATGCCTTGGCTAACAGTAATAGATATGGTGGGTTTAAGTACTGCTGAGTGCCTGGCAATGATTGATTTAATTCTGTTACAATCAAGGCACAAAAGGTTCACACATGCATATCCCAGCAAATCGAAGGCATTGCCCTTTATTAAGCCCGGTTTATAAGTATTTGCGCTGCGAATTCGCTTTGCATTCGCATTCGCATGAAGTATGAACCGGGCTTTCGAAGGCAATGGCTGCTACGCATAAGATCCATTGGACCACATAATGTATGGTCTGAGTTATGAATTACAATTTGTAACAACATGTTATATTGATGAATTGAACTGTCGTAAATATTTGTCAAATATGATACAGAAACAGCTGTCTAGGAGACGCGTATTATTGCACATGCAAACTGCATGTATGTACTCATCATTTTATTTCTTGTCCATGTACACCTGTCTACCACAGTATATTGTGTACATTTGTGTAATATTTGTACACACAGACACATGACGGACAGGACAAAGCACACTCGTGTGATGTGTCTGTATTTCTTCAGGTCAAAAAGGTTATCTCTCTGAACAAAATTGACAGTCAGGCACATTGCTAGCACACTATGTACACTAACCAACCCATGTGCTGATGCATTGATGTGCATTATACGCAAATATACAACTTATTTGTTCTCGTGCGTTGTTTCGTTATTTATAATCCTTCTGTACCACACTGAAAAGAAAAGTTTGTTTTATTTATCTTATTTTTTGTTAATCTATTGCACCTGGTCTTCATTGTAATACAAAGTATTTATTCACTGAAAAATCAATGAAACTGTAGAGTGCTTGGACGGTTTCAGGGGCTACAGGGAGTAATAGGCAGGGCGGTTTCAGGGGCTACAGGGAGTAATAGGCAGGGCGGTTTCAGGGGCTACAGGGAGTAATAGGCAGGGCGGTTTCAGGGGCTACAGGGAGTAATAGGCAGGGCGGTTTCAGGGGCTACAGGGAGTAATAGGCAGGGCGGTTTCGGTGCTACAGTGACTAAAGCCGACCTCAGGTCGACCCCTGATTTGCTTTCGCCGCAACGGAACTGTCGGCATCAAGCAGAAAAGTAATGCTCAGGTCACAAAACTGAGAAATCGTGTGATTCTCTTGAAACAAGCGACATCCCGACGCAAAATAATCACAACCATGCATATGTCACCCACGACGCGACGATCCACCACAATTCAACAGCAAAGGCGGTCATATGACTTCTTTAACATTAAAGGAATAATTATGTGCTTGGCCGGTTCGGCTCGAGCCATTATCAGCGCACATTCCCCTGATATTGTCTTAAATGTACTTGTATTCCCATTCACAAACCCTTTGAGTCAAAAAGTCCACACAAGTCAAAAATTATACATTTCCAACGATTTTGTTGAACAGTTTTACTTCATTGCTTTTTAAACACCCCTCTAGCTACAATGTATGATATATCCTCTCGCGAGTAGTAGTAAACAATCTCCTTACATGTACATGTATTTGGTAATTGACACGCGCGTGGTGCATACTGTGTGATGTTGCGCAGAACGCAGAGCGCCGGTGTAGTCTTGGCAATGCTTGGTAGTGTATGCTGATTGGCTACGCAATGAAAACGGATGATCTTGATGCACGTAGGATGCCTGATGACGTCGCGACGTCGTCATAGAAGTTGAAATTACTTATTCCGATCGTGTTAATATCATCGTAGTTACACACGGGTCGCAAAAAATCGGCAACTGAAGTGTTCCCGACGGTTGTAGCTCAGGTGCAGCTTGACCCTGGAAAGTCAGTCGCCGACTGATCTGTGTCGTTGCAAGGTCGACCTGAGGCAGGTTTAAAGGGTTAAAGAGATGAAACATAATTAATATCATAATTTCTTTTGTATTTCCTGTCGTGAATAGGAGTTAAATGTGCTGTCCACTCCAGGACATACCAATGGCTGCCTGACGTTTGTGCTACACCACGACGGCAGACCGGTGCTTGCATTCACTGGAGATGCCCTGCTCATCAGGGGGTGTGGCAGAACCGACTTCCAAGAAGGTGGGGTGCACTCAAAGAGCTAAAGTACACTCAACCAAAACAGAAAGTCCCCCATTCCAATTCTTTTTTGTCTAACTCAAAAACTACTGAGTATCTCCCGCTCAAATAACAGCTAATCAGTACAGAAATTCCTTAGCAATCCAGCCATACTCTTTAAATGGCCCAAAACCGTGATAATGTGTACGAATTTATGCAATTTATAAATGATACCGAAAACAGTTGCTCTCTTCTATGCATACGCGCAAGTTGTGGTTCACACTCACCTTGCACGTACACAAAAGTGCAACAATTTTTTTGGTACTGTTTGTCATAAATTGCATAATTTTGTACACATTATCACTGTTTTGGGCCAAACAAAGAGTATGGCTGGATTGCTAAGGAATTTTTGTACTGATCAGTCGTAATTTGAGCAAGATGTGCCCAGTAGTTTTTGAGTTAGACAAAAAAGTATTAAGGGGGGACTTTCTTTTTTGGTTGAGCGTATTAGCTACATAATCAAAATCCAGTGTGTTAAATCCAAAAGGTTAAGTTGCACATTTTGCTAAACGCGTCTGGCAATGCGTAATAAAGGTTTTGCATTTCCGATTGTGTGCGTGGGAAAGAATTTAAGCAAGCATTAAAAAAGTTGGAAAATCCTTCCATTCCATGAGATGATAATCTAGCCGAAAATAATTCAAGCAAAACGAAAACAATTCACGTTTATCCCTATATGAATTGTTTTTGTATTGCTGAAAGAACACTTTAACCTTGTTTGTGATCTGTGGACAGAATTTTAAAACGGTGTTTGTGTTCAAAATTCCGTAACTTGAAAAGTACATAAGTGATTTGAATGATTCATGTACTAACAGAAAGCTTATTAATTGGGCTTTCATATCCTAGATTTTTAAAAATGCTACATGCAGAACTTCTTTAAATGATTGGTCCTGCCATTTGGGTTTCCTTTTTTTTTACTCACCCTGTTTGTGCACAAAGTGCGGTCATCCCACGGAGCTCTCACTACCGTAGTTGCTCATGACTGGTGTCCATTAAGACATCATAATAACCCTAACCACCCCAACTCCATCAAAATGCATCCCCCATTTTGGGGGACTTGGTCCAGAAGGCCTGGCTTGAGTGAATATTGACGGAGTGTGATGGACTTGGGCCTAATGGCCTGAAGCAGTGCTAGGGGTGTCCGAATGATTTTGCCTAGCTTCCTGTACTGCTATTATGATCAAAGCCATGTGTAGCAAGTCCATGAATGTCAACCAGTATGTCAGTAGGTGATTCCATTATGTCATGTACAGTTTTGTATTGGACGCACAGTGATTGATGGATTTTGATGGACTCGGTCCTGTTCCTAGTAAAAGAAGCTAGGGTATTAGGGTTGAGAGACTACCAATAAATCATAGAGCTATATTAAATTACTAGAGCGCTAACTCCTCATTCTTGTGCACGGAGACGCTTTCAAGCCGCTCTGGGAGCAGACATTTTGAATTTATGTGCGTGTTTGTAGAACACAATCAAAATAGATGGATTGAATTTTAAAAGTGTACTCTAAATGCAACGCGCAAGTAGAAGATACGCAAAGAACTTAAGCGCGTCATGACGGTTAAAAAAACGTCACGGCGAAAAGCGTCTGCAGCGGATCCGAAGGGACGTGCACGCGTTGCGCTGTTTGCGTGGAACAAAATGACACGCTCATTTGCTGATCGTGCGTTTCGGTTTTGGGCGTATTGGCTTTGACAACGCACTGGTATGGAATACAAACGCAGATATGCAAATAGCCATACAAAAGCCGTACACAATTTCAAGTTTTCCATAGGTTTGTGCAAAAACATGGATGTGCCCATCAGGCATTACTTTGTACGTATCGAGTTAGCGCTCTCGTAATTTAATATAGCTCTATGCTGTAAATAGACCTGAATATTCAAGTATAAATACTAGCTTGTCTTGTTCATACATGTAGGTTGCTCTGCAACTCTGTATGAATCAGTGCACAAGAAGATCCTATGCATGCCAGCTGACACGCCCCTGTACCCTGCACATGATTATACAGGTAGGAGCTTACATGTACGGTGTTAAGTTGTTCCAGTTCTGCCCATGTTGATCATAAACTCAAAATACAACAGTTATTGTATTGATACAGTGGATATAAGTTGTTTTTTTATATGGGGGAAAGGAGTTGTATGAGGATTAATTAGGTGTTCACGTGTGCAGAGCCACACTATATAACGTCTGATATATCCGAACATGTACATTGTATGCGACCCCGTGCGCCAGCCACTCGGAGCCACCTTGAGAAGTAAAAAATTGAAGTAAAAAATTTGGCCAAAGCTGTTGATTGGCATTTTGGCAGTATTTATACAGTCATTTATACAGAATGACCTCATTCGACTCCAGATGACCTTTGACCTCAAATGTCTCAAATCATTTGAATCCCCCTACCCAAAGATTATTGTCACCAAATTTGGTTGAGAGTGACGTCAGAATTTTCATATGACAGCACTTTTCAGTTTACCTAACCAAAAAAGAATATATGTACATGTACGGACACTCAGAAGGATTGACTATCGCAAGATCCCCTTTCCTGGCTTAAAGTGTTAAAAGCCAGAGGGATATAAAAACGCTACAAACGTTGATGTAAAAAGTACCAGTTCTAGCCCCATCCAAAAACAACTTTGCTTTTTGATGGACTTCAATCCACTTTTTGTCACTGTTTTATATTTCCTGCCTGAAAGTATCCTCTTTAATTTATGATCTTTGACCTCAAATGTCTCAAGTCATCTGACGTCTCCCTGCCCAAAGGTTATTGTCATTAAGTTTTGTTGAGAGTGACGTCAGAATTTTCATATGACAGCACTTTTCAGTTTACGTAACCAAAATGGAATACATGGACACACAGATGGAATACACTTTCGCAAGATCCCCCTTTCTGGGCTTAAAAGCCAGGGGATAAAAAAACGCTACAAACGTTGATGCAAAAAGTAGAGCCCCATCCAAAAACAACTTTACTTTTTGATGGACTTGAATCCACTTTTTTTCACTGTGTTATGTTTCCTGCCATAAAGTATCCTCTTTGGTCATTTTCATATCCCTTTTTTCCCCTCCATATTTCTTCGGCAGGCCAGACATGTACATCGGTCAGAGAAGAGAAGGCGTACAACGCTAGGCTGACCAAAACCAAAGAGGAATTCATTGGCATCATGGAGAGGTTGAATCTACCCTACCCAAAGGCCATAGGTTTGTCAAACTGAATTGAATCTCTCCATTAATAACTTTCAGCTTGATATGAGTGGGTTCGCGTGCTGTTCCTTGTGAGAAGTGTGTAAGAGTCAAGAGCAACATGATCGCCATTGATCAGATGTTTTGTTAAGGAGAATACACGAGAAAGTGTGGATTCGTAATTAAAGAATTCACTTGGCGCGAAATTCGTAAATTAAGAATCCACACTTGCGAGTGTATTCTTCGACTTAAACCATTGGGTCAACAGAAGTATTGGAAAAAATGCTGCAACCTGACACCACTTTTTTCTTCATATATCATCTCAATGAAGGTCATTCGTTGCAAAAATGATGATAAGACATGAATCTGGGACTGATAAATGTTTCCAAAATTGTTAGAAAATACTTGAAATGACTCTCCATAGACGTTGTACACAATTAAGCGCGGAAGTGGCGTCAGGTTGCAACATTGTTTCCTGGCGTGTTTAACATGTGTATCGCCACACCAGTACAACCAAGTCATTTTGTGTGTATGCTCCAATGGATAGTTCGGACGACGATTTCTTTCTGACTAAAAGCAGATTTTGCAGTGACGGCGGAAAATCTGACAGTGAAGATGCATTGGTAATTTTCGGAAAGCAAATTTTCACGCAGACAGTCCTATTCATGCTCATTATGGAGAACAATTGTCCGACATGTTCAATGTGTGGATTCGTAATTCCGAATCCACACTTTACTAAAGATTCGTCGTTCCGAATCCACACTTTGTGACCAGTGTAAGAGATTCATAGATCCGAATCCACACTTTTAACAATAGTGTGAGGTCATAGCAATGGTTTAACCTTGCAAGAACAGTGTGCAACAGATGACAGTGTGGTGATTAACAAGAAAGTTCCATATGCGTTTAGCCATGGAACTGTTAAATGGACACATCGTCCTGAAATAGACAAAATTTATAATTTTTGGATTGTGTACTAATCCTATTTCAAAGGTCTGGTAGAAAGGAAACTAACAATCCTGTCTAACTGTTCTGAGAAAAGATGAAAACAAAACCAAGTTGTTTGCTTCTGATGTGGCGAACATTTTGTGGCCAACTTATACATAATTCCTGCTGTAAATACCAACCAACCTGTTCTTTTCAGAAAATACGTGTGCGTATGCCACAAAATGTTCGCCATGTCAAAAGTAAAAAAAAAAAAATGGTCTGTTTTTTCATCTTTTCTCGGGAACGGTGCAACATAAGGTTAGTTTCCTTTCACACAGACCTTGAAATTACTGTGATTTCGGGACAATGTGCACCTTTAAGGTTGAGATATGAACGATTTGTACCTTTAAGGTTGAGATATGAATGATGTGCACCTTTAACTCTTTCAGTGCCCGCGAAATTTGAAAAGTTTAACCATAAAGTGCCCAACTTCGAGCGTTTTTGTTAATTGTTTGAAATTCTGTAAAAAAAAAAAGTAAATAAGTTTTACTCACTAAATTTGTTGTTGTTGCTCTCTGGTATATCCTTGATATATTGGAAAGTCAAAAGTAGTCACAAACATAGTGATACACCCTGAAACACTGGCCTGAACACAGGGGAATTCCGCACTTTTTGCAGAAAATACGAGATTTAGTGCTGCGCCCTCTCGCAAGAACTCGAATGAAAAAATAAATACAGGTCGTACTTGCATGAAAATGGTACCATTAGAAAGAGTGAGAGCGCCCCCTTTGGATAACATATTTACTCTACCTCGTACATGTACGAGGTTTGGCAATTTTAAGTACGAACATTTACGAAACATTACCTCGTACATGTACGAGGTTGCCGCTTTTGTACTAACAAATATACCTCGTACATGTACGAGTTTGGCACTGAAAGAGTTAAGGATGAGATATGAACTCTGTACATGAACACGAGAGGGCGCTTTTTTTGCCACTCGTGAGAGCTCCAGTGAGAGGGGCGTGTATGCACGCATGCACTGGTTGTCATGCATTGGTTGTCATGCATGTACACCTGCCTTTTTTAATTCCAAATGTGCACAAACCAATAACATCTTCACATGAGCATCAGGCACTGTTAAACAGGGTGAGTAAAAAAAACCGGAACCCAACCCCAACAAAATATATTTCATATTTTAAAAATGTGTAGCAACAAATCTAATAATGACTGCAAAGCCAATTTCAGAAACTTCTTTTATATGAAAAAAATACTGAAATTGCTAAATCCGTTCAAAGAATAGCACCATTTAAACGCAGTGACCCTAAAACCTGTTTCGTCCAAACTTAGCAATTTATTGTGTGTTCTGACTGTGTTTGAACAACAAAGAAAATGACACAGAATACTTGTTTGAACAACTGTCAACAGCTGTGGTACACAATATTTTTTATTAATAACCCTGCTGTTTAGGCAAACAATATGATTGATAACATCCACTTTATTTCAAAGGACGGGCCTTCAAAAGGACTTTGCTGAATATTTTTAACTTTTAAACTGAGGTTTTATCGCTGATGATGTTTGAAGACAATTGTGACGACGATTCTTGAAATCGCAGTTTTGGAAGAAAGATGTTTTAGGTTCATTGTGTTTAAATGGTGATATGCTTTGAACGGATTGAGCAATTTCAGTAGTTTTTTCATCTAAATGTGGTTTATGAAATTGGCTTTCAAGTCATTATTGTTGGTGCTATATACTTGTAAATATGAAATATATTGTTTGAGGTTTGGGTTCCACTTTTTTTTGACTCACCCTGTACACGTAAGTGTCTTGCTACTCATCAAGTAAAAAGTGACAATATGTTGAACATAAAAAAAAAAATAGTTTCAAATGTGTGCAAAATGAAGTGTTAAGTCTCAGCCCTTGTGTTTTATATTGGTGGATCGACTGATGTCACTCCATCTTGGTGATATGCTGCATGTACATGTACATGTGGCATCTTTAAACAGTAACCTTGGCTCAAAGAAGCTGTTTGCTCACAAACACTACATGTACTTAAGTGTAGTACATTTCATCATGTTAACTTCAATGTTAAAGGGAAGATACAACATTTGCAAACATCACAAAACGAAATGATCCAATTATCACTAAATACCTTGCTGGATTGTTAGGGAATGACAGTCTAAAGCATCCTGTAAATCGTGGCTCCTGGTGTGCTGACATTTTCAAGAAAAATTGTACTTTTCCAACGCTGGTCAGCCGACCAGCGTTGGAGAAAATTGGCTTTTTATCAAAACTGCTCCTAATTTTTCATAATTAGTTATTCCGTGTTTTCTTTGCAATTGATTACACAACTGTGAAGGGGTACAAGCCCGCTGGACTGACTCTCTGATCTTACAATTCTATAAATTCTCTGTTTCATCTTAAGTGGGGTCTGGGAACCAGACTACAAGAACATGAGTGGTTTTCTTGGTTTTTCCAGCATCTACAAGCCCAAAACGTGAAACTAGTCATTTTAACAATATTTGCTATAACATACTAATCCTCCAAATCCATTTATTTCTGAAAATTGCAGCAAAAGCAAATGTTGTACATTCCCTTTAATTTGGTCCTTTTGTGTAAACGACTGGACTTATTAGCAAGCTGTGCTGATGACGTCATTACTAGTGGGGTGATTATAACCGATAGTTAGATTTATTGTGACGAAAGAGATGCCCTTTAGACTAACCCTAACTCCCTAGGCCTTTTTGCTAGGATGTAGCCTCAATCCTGCAAAATCCTCCAATTGGCCTCACGGAAAAATAGCATATAGCCTCAATCCTGCAAATTTCTCCGTCGTTTCTTGAATATGGTCCATGGAGGGGTGACCACTGCCTGAATCCTGCAAAATCCTTCGGCTATGACTGTCAATAGGCGGAGGCAGAGGCAGTGACATCCTGGAGCAGTGCGGAGGATGTCAAGTATAATCAAGGACTAAATTTATGCACGGCTGAGCATAAACAACACAAGGTCCGGCCCAAGACCTTGACACAGTGCGTACTCCGAAATCAGCAACGCACTTTGGCCATGTAACCTCAATCCTGCAAATTCCTCCAATTTGCAAAAAGGATTTTGGAGGATTCAGGGCGGTAAAAGGGCTAAGGATGACAAATACAAACGATATTGATTACATTACTTGTCCAGCCGGCCCTCTTCATTTTTGCTTTTGAAAGTGATACATACAATGTACATGTAAGTAGGCCTAAAATCCTGCAGTGATTAATCGAATGAACTTTTTGAATGCGTCATTGAAATGCTTGATTATTACAGTACAATATATCATAAGATGGAATTTGCGTCGGGGCGATGTAAAGCAATATTAGGTTTTGCCCTTCACCGACGTATAAACACTGTATACTCAGTGTGTTACCTCCCAAGTGAAAATGAGAAGGAAAAAAAACACTCAGGTGGGACTCGGACCCACGACCTCCTGCTTTCTATTACAGTACAGGGGTTTTTTTTTTCAGACATTTTTGTTGGGAAGTATGCATACAGCTTTAAACTTCTTTTTTTGAACCCTAACCCTGCTGAATCCAACAGGATCCAACTATGTCATAATATACCCGATGGAGCCTGTTGGATTGAGCAGTAAACCCCTTGTGTACAGTCCTGATGTAAAATGTTGGATTCAGCAGGCAACTGCAGTGAACCGCATTATAACGCCATGTTGGACTCCGTTGTGTTCAGCAGACAACTGAAAAAAAGGCACAGTGGATTGAGCAGGAAACTCCGGTTGGACTCTGTTGGATTTAGCAGGGTAGTCCTGAGGAACTACTAGTAGTACCATTTGTGTGCAATCTTAGGCTTTGGTGAAAATTCACAGCAGACCAGACATTTTTAATGGCCTGAGTCACTATGTTGAAGATGAATTGTCCGTGCTCTTCAGCACATTAGTTTTTGCTTTCTCCTGATGTCACTACATTATAAACTCCACTTGGAACAGACCAGTCTACCTGTGACAACTTTTATCTTAGTTAAAAGCGCTATATAAAAAACAAATTTTATTAATATTATTATTTATATCTATGAATATTACCCTGAAAATAAAGAACTTTCAATTGCTTTTTTTTCCTTCTTGCAATACATGTACCTTTGAATGAGATATAAAAAAACAAATCGGCCCATGTTTAGTCAGAAAATAATAACTTTACAAAGTTCGAAATGACCAGTATTTGCAACCAAACAGTAGGGCCTAATTTTGTTCTGACAGGGTATGTCTGTACCTAGCGGAGTTGGTAATGTAGTGACATCAGGAGACAACAAAAAATAAAATGTGCTAAAGAGTACAGCCGGTATATCTTTAACATGGGTACTTGACATTGTGATTCGGGCCAGTCAAAATGTCTGGTCTGTTGTGCATTTTTTTGAACTGAAACCTAAGATTTCAACAAAATTATAAAAAAAACATCAAAATGTCTATACTAAGTTACTTAAAGAGAGACATTCCAATAGACTTGTGCAGAAAACATTCCCTTAACCCCATTTGTAAATACCCCCCTCCCCAAACTGTTTAGTTATACTTTAATCGGCCTACATGTAATCACTTTAAGCAACTTGCGAGATTAAAATTTGCTCTGGAAATTGAAGTTAACCGTTCAGGCCAGGAATATTTTGACAAGAACGGCACGAGGCGCGGGATACTTTTCATTCGACCTCAATGCCAGGCGGGTTGAAGCCATCCCCCTCGGGCAGCACACTCATAGTTGAGTCCTCACTCGCTGTGTGTTTATCCGTCATCCATTCCGAATACTGCAAAACCTTTGCGTGTATACACGTCATCTGGCAACTGGTTAAAACATCAGGGAGACACAAAAATGTCTCACAAATCGTCACCGTTTTGACGAAGTGACACTTCCGTCCAAACCGAGATTTTCTGAAATCTGAGATTTTTGAATATTCTAACATTTTATGATGTCCTCTACATGATTACCAAATTTCGAGACATAACATTCCATCGTTCGTTAATTACGCTAATTGCACAAAGTGTTGAAAGTGCTACAAGTTTTTCGTTTTGACGAAGTGACGGATCTCTATGTGTCACTTAGTCTCATTGAATTTACACGTGTGCTATATTAAGAAATATGAAGCCTCCACGATTTGTGTTTTGACGAAATGACGCATCTGCGTTCTAAAATGTATCAATTTTATATACGCGCACGCGCTGTGTACAAACACATGCCTCATTTTTGTGTAGAAGTAGATTTTCCGTTTTGACGAAGTGACGGATATCTTTAGTTATTAATATCTGCAAATTAAACAGGATTTTATGAACAGAGAGAATTGTTTTTGGCTATTTAACCCATGGGCTATTGTCTCAGTTATATATTTTTCAATTCTGGGAGAGAAATGTACACAAAAATGCAAATTGAAAAATCCACCAACTTCAAACGCATTTTTCTCAAAACTCGGTTTTGCATCATCGTCAAAACGGTGACGAAATGACCAATGTCTCCCTAATGTAAAATAATTTTCTTGTGTGTGTCTCCCTTAGAGCATCAGTTGTAGTATTTGTATTCACAGCCTGGCTATTAAATAGTTGAGTTTTATTTTTTTGATGGTGACTTTTTATTATCCCAAGTGCTTCGGCTAGTGGTAACCACTGTGAACATGTTGAAGTTGCATATTGAGAACAGTTAATGAGAGAGCAACATTTAGTTATTTTGATGTCAAACTACTTTTTTACTTATTTGTACAGACAAATCTCTGCCAGCGAATATGGTGTGTGGTGTGCTGGAGGACTTGCCCAACAAATAAGCCAAGTGTTGCGTGTAAGGGGGCGTGGCCAGAGCTTGGCAGGAGGGGGAAACCAGAGCAACAACATTCAGGGTCAAAGGTCATTCAGTTCATTCGGGAGACAGGTCAAGAAACCATGGAGGTCTGATGATTTTTAAGAATATTTTAGTAAGCTTTTTTATTCAAAATTGAAATATTTTTGAAAGACAATTAAATTTAGATTTTCCTGTTTGTCATGTGTAAAATTTCCATGTTTACATTATTATAATTAATTATTTTGTGATAATGAAACCAAGGATTCCTCAAAAGCGTTCAAGGCACTGTAGCTCGCAAGCCTGTAGAAACCTGTAGAGAGGAGACGATGAGAAGAAATATTCTGGTGAAACCCACGGAATCAGGAAGGGACTGAAAACCCAAACCACATGTTGGCCCAGGCGGGATTCGAACCTAAGCATACATGAAGGAACCTTAATTATTATTCTGTTGTGATGCTCACTTTAACGGTAATGTACAACATTTGCAAACATTAAAAAATGAAACTACCAAATTATGAAGTACCTTTACTTGACTGTAAGTAAATAATGGATTAAAGCATTGTGTGAAATGTTTGCACCTGGGATGCCGTCATTTTCAAGAAAAGTGGAATTTTGTATAATTTTGCAACGATGGTTCTGCCAACCACTGTTGGGAACAACCCAGCTTTTTCAAATATTACCCCTAATTGACTGGATTTAGTTCTACATTTTTGTTCGCATTCAGTAACTTATCCGTGAATGCGCATAAGCCTACTAGTCTGGTTCCCTGACCTGACAATTCCCTGAGGTCTATAAATTGTTCCATTTTGTCTGAAGCTTAGGGTCGGGGAACCGGACTACAAGAACATCTTCTTCTTTTTGCGTACTACACGAACACAAAACTTAAAAAAATAAAAAATGTCAGTGTGACGAACATTTGGTATCAAATACCAACCCCCAAATCCATCAATTTTTGAAAATTACTGCAATAGCAAATGTTGTATATTGCCTTAGATGAGCATGCAATATTTTTATTCAAGATGTTTGGTAAGCAAATTTGAATTTGAATGAATATGCTTATAACTTTTATAATTTCTGCCACAAACAACCAGTGCAGAAATATTCCAACTTTCACCTTCCACCAAAGGATCATTCCACTGTTAAAACGGATGTGCAACTACATTGAGAAATCCAGTAATCTTTAAATTTTCAATTTCGGGATATATTCTTAAAGCAGAGAATGAATCGTGGTATTTTGACTGGAGGTAACTTGATGATTATGGGATAGGAGGAATAAAATAAACGTGTGTGATGTGTAATGAATGAAAATGCCATAAAATGTATATTATTTGTCTATCTCAAATTCTGAAATAATGACAAAATTGACGCTTAATCATGTTAATAGTGTTGTTTTGATGTAACTTTGTAGTTCGCTTATAAAAGGTTTTTTACACAGAACAAAATTGTGAGATGCTTGAAAAGCCATAGTCAATTTATATCATTTTTTTAGGACACAACACTTTAGCAGCTTTTTACGATTTTCCTGAAGGAATTTAAAGTTGTCATCATTTTGCTAGAGGAATAAGTGCATTTTATTGTTGGCACAATTAAAAATGCTGTTCAGATTTCAGAAAGTGTTGTTCATGGCAAGCTCAAAGTTGGAGGGTCTTTTGGCTAGACCCTAAAACAGTAATAGACAACTTGTGCAGTGCACCCTCACTCGGTCAAAAATTAAAATTCACTGACAGTGAAATGTTATTTAAATTCACTGACAGTGAAATGCATCAACTTATGCGTATTACAGAGGAACTGAAAAGACCTCTGCCCTCAGATGTGCCATCATCTGCAAAGGGTCTTTACCCTTTCAAATTGGCACACCATATAGTTTTAGGACCAAGAGTTACTAATACCTTTCAGATATGCAAACCTACATGTGGATACACACTGTAGAAAGGTCGGATAAAACACTGTTGGGCAATGTGAATTTACCCAGCATTGGTGTGAAATTTTCTCATATTGGGTTGAATTGGGTAAAAACTGTCAAACTATTGGGAAGAATTTGCCCAAGAGTGTAGGCAGCTGATAATTCATTGGTCGAATTACCAACCCTTTTTGTCCAACTTTTTTTTTATATTTGTTCCGTTGATTTTTCAATGTAGTCGTGCCTTATAATTAATTACGGTTTAAAGCGTTGAACAAATGCTGTTGTACTTAATACAGATTTTCGGAATAATTTGGTTCTTCGCAGTAGAGTTTATTCACAAGTCGGCCATATTGAATTGAAAGCGAGGTAAACTCTTCAGTTTTGGAACTTGCGACTGGAAATGAAAGCAGTGAATTAAAAGTTCATTACAAAGTAATACCAGTGATTAAACATACCCTGTATAATGTATTAAGCCATATTTGAAAAAAAAATAAAAGTGAGGCCGTGTCCGAAACGGGCTTCCAGAGCTACGGCTACGTCTATTGTCAGCGCGTCCCCGCGTATTTCTAATGGAGCGAAGACCTAGACCTAGCTCTAGACAACAGATTCGGATGCAGCCTGAGGCTTGGAACGCACTCCAATCATAAAATAGTCTGGCACCATCCCATTCAACTGTTCACAATTTGTAAAATCGATTCAGGGACCTCGGTCAAAAATGGCTTCTTCGTGAATTAGGTCTATTCTGGAACGCCAATCCTGGAAGGCCTAAGTGCATGTAGGTCTTGAAAAGAACTAGTGACGCCTAAGCAGCAAAATGTTGAAGTAGTTTGATACGCTAGTATATGATCAACACTTCCTATTTTGAATTCTCTTTTAGTTTTGAGTTGTGTATGGGTATAGACTACGGAAGTAATTTGCAGAAGGGACAGTAGATTTTACCCCGTTTTTTATAGAGTCATTTGTATTGCTTTTTGGTAGTTTATTTTATATGTTTGGTGTATTCTTTGCATACTTACTGTTGTTTTATCCTTTCAGATCAAACCTCGTATTTCTTTTGTATCTCCCCACGCTAATTAGAAGTGTATACTTGCACTGGGAAACCGTGGTATAACAAATCCGATCATGTATTTAATTTAGCTGGCACATGTGTTTCAGAAGTACCTTCCATAGCTCGGTGAGTGCTTCCTTATTAACAAACCTAATATTGATGTTAATGGATTTGGAGATTTTTCATATCGCCTTGACCGTTCAAGAATTTTATGAGCAGATTCCCAAGGGTATATTAAAGTAAAATCGTCACAATTTGTCAAAATTTTGCAACGTTTAGGGAAAAAAATGTTGCAAACTGATGCCACTTGTTTCTTCATATATCATCTCAATGAAGGTCAGTCATTGCAAACATGATGATAAGGCATGAATCTTGGACTGAGAAAAATTTCCAATTTTATTGGGAAATACTTTGAAAATTGTCTTGACTCTCCATAGACTTTGTACGCAACCGCTGAAGTGGCGTCAAGTTGTAACACTTTTTTTCCAAGTTTAGTTTCCTTTTACGGATGCATTCCATCATGCCCCCTCATGAGAATTTTGCCGAATGTAAGTACGGAATTTTGAAAAATTTGTATTGAAAACAAGCCTTGTTTTTGAAGTTGAGCTCAAAATTCATTAACGGCAATCTAAGCTTGGATATGTATAGTTGTTTGTACTGACTTAAAATTTGGAATGTCTCGATATTAAACATTTAAAGGAGCCAGGGTAATAATTCATCGCACGAATGAAATCAGTGATACGAATTATACGTAAATATTACAGTTGCTTTAAAATTATGATCTTGTTATTGCTGCAGAAGCTAAATACTTAAAATTGAGTTTAATTGTATACCATGCTTGTCACTTTAGAGCTACATTCTTTGCTATCATTTGTGATATACGATGCCCACCAAAGTACATCACGACTAATTATTTCCATCATTTTGAAGAGCAAGATACTCAGAGAATTAGAAGTGATTTTGTTTTTCAAATAAATGAACTAAAGACAGAATAAGTCCGTGTGCAGGGTATTTCTTCACAATACTCGACCTCTACGTATAACCGACGCAGGTTGGCTTTGTTTTGCGCGCGCAGGCTTGGTGCGAGCGATTATACTCGGTGTTCACGGCCCCGAATTGACAATAAGGCTCGATAGTCGGACAGACTATAAGGTCCGATAGTCTGAATCGAAAATAAGGTCTGACAGTCCGAATCGACAGTAAGGTCCGATAGTCCAAAATGTGTGACTGACGAACCGTATTGTCCATTCAGACTATCGAACCTTATTGTCATTTCGGACTATCGAACCTTATCTCTTCGGACTTTCGAACCCTATTGTCGATTCGGACTATCGCACCTTATCGTCCATTCGGACTATCGAGCCTTCGGATTGGTTAACCTCACATGTACATGTATTCTATTTTCGGACTACATGTATATCGAACCTTCGGACTATATCGAACCTTCGGACTATCGAACCTTCGGAATATTGGGCTGTCACCATCTCACACCTGTGTGTCGGCAATAACTTTTATCAATACCCTGGAAAAATCTTGAGGAACGTGATATGGTTCATACAATGTTAAGCATATCGACGGACAAAAGGTATATCTCCGCCAATGTCTCGTTAAATAAAAGTCTTCCGGATCGGGCGCGGAAAAAGGTGACGCAGCTAACACATGCCGTGGCGAATCAGACTGCGAACCTCTTCGATAAAACAGGTCACCAGCCCAGGCACAAGCATTTCTCAACTGAAGTTTCCGTTATTCACCAGAATCACCGTATCGTCGTGAACTAACGTCCTCGCCTACCACAACACAACACGTGTAGGAACGCCCGCTTGAAGCGAGGGTTACTGGCGGCGTAGCAAAACGGGTTGGCCGCACTGCTCAGATGTACCAACCAGGACATGGTCTGAAACAAACAGTCAAATAAGAAAACAAAAGTCCAGTTAAGTAGTTCATTTAATCCCAGGTGCATTTTTCAGCGGGTTTTTCATTTTTACTCTCCTATCATTATCATTCCAAATGGAAATTGTACAAGAGAGTGATTGAATTTCCTGTTTTTATTTTTGCATCCCAGTTGCATGAATAACAGAGCATTATGGCGATTATCCCGAACTGTTGCAACACGACTGATCACACGGTCGTGAATTTCTATACGCTCGAGGACATTGCTTTGTGTTTCCCTTTGTCCCAGTAATTTAACACTCGCTCATGGACTAAGCACATAACTGTACAATCGAGGGCCGTTTTCAGCAAAAGACCAAACGCTCGAGGACTAAAAGGATATTGTTCTCCCTTTGTGTGTCTATCCTCGATCGTAAAGCCGTACAAGAGCACACGTCCTGATGAACACGAATTAAGAAGATATTGTGCAAGTGTGTATTTTGCTTTATATCTCATACTACAGGTTTTCCCGGCTACTTTAAAACATTTATCATTCGAACTCACCGTTTTTAATATTCAAATTCGTCCATCAACATCGATTTAGTGCACTTCCATTTCGTCTTTTGTCATACAATTTCGATTGTTGTCCAATCGAATTCAATCCACGAACACCAATTTTCGGCAAAAAATATTCGCTTTCGTCTCATCTACGCCGAACAGTTTTATTCAGAAATCAAATTCGTCTTTTGCCACACAATTTAATGATACGTTTGTTCAATTTCGTAACAGTTTATTACGACATACTCTGTAGAAGGCATAAAGGTCGCAGATGAGGATATTTTCTCCACTGTTTTTCTGTTATTTCCTAATAAATATATATAGGCGTAATGGTTGTTGCTTTTGAATCGATTTTCTTTTAAAAAAAAAATGTTATAGACTCATTATAGGTGCAATGTAACAAAGGAAAATAAGGATCATCGACTGTTTTTTTTTACATGGTCGTTTTTATTTTTCCACTCGTTTAAAGCCCAAAGTTGCAGCCACTTGAATGTACTCCATGGCATCATGTTCAAAGGATTCGTTAATTTGTATCTTGTCCTGGTTAGAAATGTTGTTGTATGGCCCTCGGCCCGGGCGAAAGGAACATGGTCAATTAGACACGCCGGACTAATTTACTGCACGACAGTTTTAAATGGATTGGCATAAAAGACGAATTTAATCTCTGAATGCTGCCATCCGGCAACAGCTTAGAGGAATTTGATCTGTAATGCCAAATATTCTTAACACCGTTTTTAAATGTGGTGACCGAACTTTGAAATTGAATGATAAATGACTAAATCGCTTTGGTAAAAGCGTGTGATTTTTTTTCTCACACGAAATTGAATGTTAGAGTTGGTGAATTTGAATGACAGGTTTATTTAATTTTTTTTTATATACATTTAAGCTACATTTTTGGATTGATGGCACTCTATCTACCTTAAGGGCCGGTCTCGGTTAGCGTTTTCTAAATACAGGCTTTTATTAAACAGAGAGATTCGTTTTCTCTTACCCTGAATATGTCTACTTCAGGGGTGCTGTGAGGACTCACAACTGCCAAGAAGGCAATGATGGACCATGGTAGGGCGGATACTACCATGACCACAAGGATGTAGGTCAGAGTGCGAGTAGCTCGAAGACTCGCCAGACGCCTGCCAAAGCTCCGGCGGTGCGACTTGTAGGCGGGCTGGTCGGGGTTGATAACTTCTCTGTCGATGGTTTGAATGACCTCTCGGAGTTCGGTTCCATTCTCTTGCTCGTTTGACTGATACCCTCTGTTCTCGATGCCGCACATTAAAGTAGACAACATTGTTGGGATCTTTGTGGTTATTTGCTTCTGCCTTGGATCATCGGTAGAGCTTTGCGCGGCTTCTTGGTCCTCATTTGATCGGTCCTCGTTTTCCCAACTGCTGTCGTTTTTTATCTGCCGGGCTTCTCGCAGGGCTCTCCCCTCTACTGTGTTCATGGAGACGCGGCAAAGGTCTCGCGTCTTACGGTCCTCGTTTCGGCTTCCGCGAAGCACTGCGCGGAACACAAAGATGTAGAGGGTGATGGTAGCCAGCATAGGAATCCAGGACATGACGGCAATGGCGAACACCAGCAAGGGGAAATGATGGCCATAGGAGCCATTGCACTCCGGCGGCAGAACGCGCTCCGTGACGCCACTGTACGGAAGGATGATGACCAGCGGGGTCCAGATCACGAACGGTATCACGTAACTGAATGAGATCATCCAGAGGGCATGTTTGATAGTCTTCTCTCGTAGGTGTCGCAGCGGCCTGGTCAGGGCTCTGTACCTATCCACGCATATCGTCAGTGTCATCAGAAAGGTAGCATGGATGAAAAGATGGTTGATGTAAACATTGATTGTACAAACCGCCTCACCAAAGGGCCACATCTCCAGCATCCAGGATACGTTTTCCAGGGCGGGGGTGATGCCGCCGCTGACGAGGTCCGCCACGGCCAGCCCCACCAGGTAGTAATTGGTGTACGTCCGGAGCTTCCTGGTTGTTGCAAAGACGTAGATAACTAGTAGGTTACCGATGAGTGTGACAAGCAAGACCGACGGACCGAGGATGGCTCGAATAAAAAACCACGGCGTGAAGTGGCCGTCCTGTGTCGGTACGGTGGTGGAGTTCGGACGCCAGTCATCATCCACAGTGATGTTGGTACCGTACAGAAATTCCCGATCAGTCTGCATGATGTCGGATGCATGTAAGATCTTCTGCTAGCTACCAGTCCGTCTCGTGAACAATCCAGACGTTTCTGCTCTTCAAATTAAAAATTTAAATCAACCAGTAAGCGCTCATCAGTAAAGTGAAAATTCGTACTACTGTTTTGACGGCAGTTGGCACATGACCCTTATTTCAGAATGTCGACTGATGCCGATCTCTGCCCAATGACTTGGTTAATAACCTCCGTGATATACGACCACAGTCTCGGACTACGAAAACAATGATCGATGCGCTCGCCTTAATTGCCCGCGTCGCTCCAGTCGCCGGTACGGCCGGTTCGTGCCGGTATCGTCTACTCATTTACCTTCCGTCGCTTTCCCAGCGTCATTTGACATCAATGAAGTCCAGAGCGAAGTGCGACAACAACAAGGCTTGCTTTGTCGGTATTTGATTCCATGTGTTTGCACTGTTTGTTATCTCAAACACGGAACACGTACGTCAAACATGGTATCACATTTGGTATTACACAACACGAACCGTTCCGTTGAGGGATGCGTTCATTTTTTTTAAAGGGGGCACTCCATGCAAATGATATGTTTATTGTACACTTCAAGATTTTAAACGGGGGCACCTGGGTGGGGTGGAGGAGGGGGGGAGCAGGGACGGGGAAGGGGAGGGGGGCCACGTGTTCCCCCACTGTGCCTTCCCTCTCCTGTAGTGTATCTTGGTAGTGCATCGGTGCGTATTCAGGACGGTGCAGACCCATGAAGTACGAGTACATGTACATATGATATTAAAGCTAGCGGAGAATCTTGAATGTTATGTGACTCCGTACAGTGTTAAAAAGTGTAGTACATACCCGTATGCGTATAGCAATAGGCCGACAAATATCGGTGAAAAAAAGAGAGTTTATTTTTGGCTAGAACCTATCCACTTCCAGGTCAGCGTGGCCGATCTAAGTCCGTCATTAATTTTATAACTCTGGGAAAACCAGTGTTCATTTTGCAGCTGGAGAGGTACGAGTATAGATGGACTGCACCTGTATGTTTTCCTGACTACAGATATTTGCGAACCTCTGCCGGCATTTGACTAAGGAGGAGCCCAAATGGGATTTTGATTATCAATTGCACATCTGTATTAACATGCAACGCAGAAAGTCTTTCTCTTGGGTGTTCCCGTCTTTTCCACACGCATTTCGTAAAATATATTTCGGCCAAAATAATATTTTAATTTCGACCTTCTTATACACTCTTTCATGGAATATTCGTCAATGCCGTTTCAACTCGTTTCTCTCCTGTTGCCGAATGGCAGCATTCAGAAAATGAATTTATCTCAAATCAGCTACTTTAGTTCTATTGTCATGTCAGTAATGGTAATCGTGAACAGGACCGGCGGCATGACTCTCGATGTTGGCGCATTAGGCACGCGTCCCATCGGAAAGTCTGACACATAACATGCATTTTAAAGAAGATACTATATGTACATAACAAAATATAGCCACAAAAGTCAACAATGAGAAAAGTCAACAGTAGGATTCCTTCTGGTTTTTTTTCAGTGATTTAATCGAAAAGCCAATTTAAGCTAAATGTTACACTTTGAATGGTGCAACATATAGGCCTATAGTACTGTGTAAAAAAAAAACACCTTTATATGGAAAATCGGCGAACCGAATTCAATAGAAGTTTCACAGAGAATAGTACAATAAATATGCTTCACAATTTTGTAAAAAAAAATGTTGAAATAACATTACGTATTTTTTTTTATTCTGCTACAACCCTGAGAGGATTTTTTTTTGGGGGGGGGGGCACCCCCTGTCATGTCAAAATTGGAATGAAGCAAAATGGACTGATGTTACATTAATGGCCTTTGTGTTAAAACCACTGAACCAAATCCAACCAAAAGTTCACACAAGAGAGAAAAATGTTGCGGCTCAACAATTCTAAAATTGAATTTGATTCCCCCCCCCCATAAATTACGAGAATTCTGTACACCTGTTACCCTCTACGGATACTTTTTTGTGTGGACGACCTATACATGTATTGTGGTAGCTTTTTGTTTCTGCATGAACTCGACTTCGCCCTTTGTCGAACAATATAGTAAGCACAGTGCAGTGGCCTCTATATTATTTACCGAAGTATCCGTGCGTGATGATGTATCCGTGTTCATATCGACGTCAACTCAGGAAACTGAAGATGAGCTATAATTTTGTGGTGAATCGGATATTGTCTTTTTTCCTCCGGACAAAAAGGTCGATCATTCACGTTCTGCATAACACCGTGAAAAAGGAATGCACAAAATAAAACAGCCCTTTTTTAATCATTTTCTGTTAATTGTTAACCATTTCACTCCCATATGACGACTTGTTTTTTAACAGTAAAGTCACTGTCACAGACGACAAAGAATAAACACACATCCGGAATCCGGATCGGTCAATTCTGGATGCTTCGCATTAGGAGGAAAGGACACCAAGAACTCATCATAATAAAACTGGCACTTGTCACTCGCAATCGATTTTTATGGGAAAAATTGATCGGGTTTTAATTAGCCTACATTTTCGGCGGAGTGGCAGATAGCAAATTTCGTATAGCCACATGTATTGCGCTTTATTTCCAGTCCAATGTAACGACCAGAGGGGTAACTCCGCCCCAATTTGCTTGGGGTGAGGGAGGGGCAAGTGCATCCATTATTCAAAATCATTTAGCTTCTGATCATTCGTACTCCAAATATCAGATCCTCACAGTGATTGTATTTCCCCAATTTATTATCCAATAGTTCGCGAGTTCGTTATCGTTGAGAAACTAGTCGAGACCTTTAAGGGCAACACAATACCTTCAGTCTCAAAGTCACAAGCTATTAAAATGATCACGTGCAACCAGGGTGACCGTAAGGTCAGAGCCAAATTCTGCTAAATGCACATCAAAAATCGGTCAGATTTATCAACAATCTGCCAAGTTTCCCAGAATTACTCGAAATACACTACAAACACTTAAAATCACGTGCAGTATTGCCTTAATTAAGATTCAAAATACATAATAAACAATCTAGTCACATAAAAATGTTGTGAAATTATTGGTAAATTTCGGGCAAAACGCGGATCCGGCCACGACGAAGTCCGTTTCCCAGCACCTACACCAGCCAACCTGTCCCATTATGCATTTGTTTGTTTGATAGGACTAAAGCTTTTACCTTTTTTGTTCAAATTTGCTGTTTTTCATGTCATATAACCATTTTTGCAGAATTCTGCCAGAAATCTGCCAAAAAAATCCATACTGTCAAAGTTTCTGTCAAACTCGTTTTTTTACAAAAATTCTGTCAAAGTTAGCCGAAAATCAGCTAAAACGGTCACCCTGCCTGCAACGAAGGCAAATATCATTTGTCGTTGTTCGTACCATGTTACTTGTGGTCTCGACTACAACACTGGTGAGAAAAACCCAGATAAGACCATCTCAAATCATTTTAAGAATAATTATTTGAATGTCGGTGAAGAAGTCTCTTTGCTTCAGCTGTCGTCATGGTGTCTCGGCTCGACTACAACAACACTGGTAAAAATAACCCAAATAAGACCATCTGAATTTAATTTGAAACTGATTGGAATGTCGGTGTAGGAGTCTCCTTGCTCCAACGATCGTGACTTCTCATCGTATTGATTACTATCTTTAAAATCCACTGCTATGAAAGGTAATGTCAAATGCTCTCTTTCTTTTGCCCGTTTTGTTTTTCTCCCGACTGGTGGTTGACTGGTGGTATAGGCCACTATCAGCCATGTGGTTGCGAAGGCAAAGCGTCTGCCGTTTTTAAGCAAGCTAATCTGATTACGTACTTTGACGCTATAACAGAGCAGTGAAATTCGTGAACCCCATAAAACATGGCCTTTTGAACGTTGTGTTTCTCAGTAAAAATGCTCAGTATGATTGAAATGTTAAATTATAACGGAAGACGAAATTCTAAACTTCATGTCAGTGAAAAAAATCGCCGTCATCGATGCCGAAACGTCAATACTGGTTACCGGTAAAGCGGACCTTTAAGTCTGGAAGAAATCGTTCGAAAACTTCCTCAAATCTATGTATTTATTATCAATTTCTAGGAATTTCTGGTATATTAGCATATTCATTAGCGTCACGATGCGTGACTTGGCGTGGGTCTCGGTATCGACCAATGGAAGCCGGCGATATTTATCAAATAATAACTCGTGAAGGAGGCTTTTTTTCCAAATTTGTACTGCACACCATAATAGATAGGAACCTTATTAATATCCGTGAGGCTTGAAAAGAATGACAGATATTGCAAACGCCAGTGTTACAACTTTCCAAAATGCACGTTGTCAGGCCTATTTTTCCAATTTCAACGAAATACAATGAACATATCACAACGATTTTAGCACTTACTTGGATCATAATAAGGGAAATAAATCCTGAAAGTTGCGTGAAGATACGGTCTTCCAAACGGGAGAAATTAATTGTCAAAGATTTCACCCATTAACGTGAACATGTCTGTGTACATGTAGTTTCATTCAAATTAAAGTGTTACGTAACCTTTAGAAATCGCCCTTTGCAATCACATCATTGTGCTATCATTGAAAAATGATATCATGCTATCATGCTATCATTGAAAAAAGAAAAAGAAATTCACATTTTTTTAATGTATTCAATAACATTCAACTGTTTATGACACTGACTAGCCAGACTGCTGTTAAAAACTATTTCTCTATTAGTTTTAAAGTGCATATGCCGTTGTTTGCATTTTTTCCAACCAATTGAATTTATGCACTAGCGAACTCCCTTAAAAAAAACACCGCTCTCTGTTTGAATCGAAAATTGTGCAGCCAAGTCCGCAAATGGTCTTCCTTAGTGTGAAAAAAAAACATGCGTCTGGCAAGCATACTTACAGTCAGACTACATCAAGGCCACATGTCAATATAAGAATCTGACCCAATACAAAGGGAACAATGGAGCCACGCAAGGGAATTTGTCCCATTTATTTAATCCATAATTATAGCAGATCGATAAAACACATCTCTATAAAAGAAAGGAATTATTTGTGCCCTTTAAAAATTATATTCAAGAACTAGTTCATTCTTGCCTGAGCAAGCCAAAGGGAGAATACACATTTTAAAGGAAAACTGGGTCAAACAAATAATATACTGTAATATGATTACAATTGCCAAAGGCTTCTCTGAACCTTCACGCTGACATGGAAATGTAATTAGTCCATTAGAATTAATATCATGGACCGTACTGTTTTCTAAGTTATATAATTATGAAAC